AAGTCTATTCAATAATAGTTGTGCGCGAGAGATCGAAATTACCCCTGGATAATGTCTATCATATCTTGGTATAGTGCCCGCTCTTTTCTCAACGAGTCAAAGATTACTAACCGACTTGAGTTTAACTCAATGACAATGAGTATCCAGTGAAACCTGCATTGGTTTATACACACACGTACCTGCATATAAGTTATATTGATATTACATAAAATGTGTAGACTACATTATTATTAACACTTACTCAAAGTTGTACGGAAAAAGTATTGTTGTCTTGTCGTGCTGCTTCACGAAGAACATCATGATATTCTCTTGTGCTTTAGATACCCACCGCTCCTTGATAATAATACCGGTTTTGAATACGATATAAGGATCAATGAAGCCAACACTGGTGTCTTGTATTCTTTGGAGCTCTGACATCTGGAATCTGTATATAAATATAAGTTACATGTGAGGATAATTATATACACGTACGCATGGAAGTGAGTTTATTAAATAAAAGTAAGAATCACTTACAAACAAAAGGAGCTAATGATTGATTTGTCCAGGCGTCCAAGTGGTATAGTTGATGCAATTCTTGAAACTAATATGTAAGATGTCATCGCCACGGAAGTAACGATGGTCTCTAAATCGACAAAGATCCACTTTGCTCACCCACACCACTTTGCATGTACCACTTGTTGAGCAAGTACATTTACGTACCCAATTCATTCAGAGCCGCAGGGTTGTACAGACTTTTGCCATATTTATAAGTCTTCCGGTATCAACTTCCGTGTTCGGATTGGAGCTTTGCCCATCAATTGATCCAAGGTTAAACCAAGATCTTCAAAAAAAAAGCATTAAGGGCTTGAACCGACACTTCTCGAGAGTTGTGCGGTCGATAGACTTCTATGTTGGAACCATATTCATTAGCAACAACAAGATTTTGCATTTGTTGCTTCATTGTCCGAGTATGGGACATCCTTTCCTCGATGCTCTTTTCCTTTTCTTATCTCGCATCATGTGACTTCACGAGGGAGCGGTCATAGTCGATAGTGGCGAAAGGCTTACGAAGTTCAATCATCTTTTTCTTGTGAGCATCGACCTTCCGCCCTCGGCACATCTCGTGGTATGTAAAAGTACGGCTTCTCCTTAAGCTTCGCTTGACTCTTGTTTTTATATCTATAAAAAATCTTTCACTTTTTTTGTCTTCTTCAAATTGCTATTTGCTCATCGGTCTTTTCGTGAAGTATTTCTTGAGAAATAACTCTTTTCTTGGGGTCTTCTTTGCCAGCCGGGACCTTAGACGTCTTTGTAGTGCGTCATTTGTGGAGGGGTGGGGTGGTGTTGGAGACCGGCGTGGAGGCGATGAGACCGGTGTTGGTGGAGACCGACGTGGAGGCGTTGGAGATCGTTGTGGAGGCGATGGGGCCGGTGTAGGAGTTGGAGATCGTTGTGGAGGCGATGGGGCCAGTGTAGGAGTTGGCGATCGCTGTGGGGATGAAGTCATCTCGCCCCCCGCGACGCTGTGATGAGATGGGGAATGAATGATTAGGCTAGGCTGGGGGAGACCCTGCTACAAAAACAAGTTGTGTGTCAATTATTTTTGAAGCCAATAGAAAATTAATGGAAAATAATATTTCATTCACTTTCATTCGTACCTAGGGTGAGGTAGGGGAAGCGGTGGCGCCCCAGGAATGATGATGAAGCGTTTGCGCCATTGAATAAATGTCTTCTCCGCTTCTCCTAGTGTCTTCTCCCCATCACCGCCTTCAATGTCAAGAGGAACATTACTGTAACCTTTGAGCACTCTATCGACCGAGACGCTAGCATATCCAGGTTGAATAACTGACCCATGGATTCTTGGTGTCTTCGTTCGGTCTATTGGAGATACAACCCCGACAGCCACCATGATTGATGCATTATTACCATCTGGAATGTGCAGCTCACATGTTGTTAGAGGCTCGGTAATGTCATCAATAGGGAAGCGCAACCCAGCGTCGTCTTGAATAACTGGCAGCTCCGTAGAAAGCACAACGCTTTTCATCCCACCAACGGGCTAATGGTGACTCCGGCGTTGATTGCGATTGCATTTGACTCATTGCTAGTCGCACTTGCCTCTTGATCTCCTCCCCATTCTTGCCTCAAGAGATTTTTCTCGTTCACGTGATTCAAGCAATGCTTGTCGTGACTCATCAACAAATTGCTCCAATGCATGGATTCGCTTCGCCTCCTCATCCTTCTTTCTCTCGGCGCGGCTTCAGTAGGTATCCTTGTCTGCTGGGAATGCGTGTGGCCACGGAACCGCCCCATAGCCTCTTGTTCACCACCGTGTTCGGGATTCTCTAGGGCATATGTCAATTCATCCTTCTCTCTGTTGGGCTTGAAAACACCACTATCGCCTTCTTCCCTAGCACGAGCTAGTCTCTGTGTTGCTCTCTCAATTTTTGGCCGAAAATTAGCTTGCCGTTGTCGGGTCTAGGCTTCCCCATGAGCGTAGAACCAATTCTTCGCACGTTGAGGCCGTTCTTCTCTATTGTTTCGTGTATGATTCCCTTGGCGGTAATCTCGCTTCTAGGTTCGCCACTTGGGAATAGCACTCCTATAACCACCGATCCCATGCGATGATGGTATTGCTTCATTGAGCATTCTCACCGATTCCTCATCACACGTTCCTCACTATCTTGAGATGTCTTGTATTCTACTGAAGGCATCCCAATGGGACTCAACTTGACAAACGCCTTAGCATTGAAATTCGGCGTAGCATTCTTCAAGATAAACTTTTTATACAATGTCTTCTTCCAACTCTAGAACAATGTTGCCATCTTCTTCATTGTCCAATCCCTCACTAGCTCCTTCAAAGCATCATCTGCTTGTAATGTAAAATGTTGAGTGATATCTCTCCAAGCTAGGTTCTTGTCACGATTAGATACAAAACTAACATTAGGAGCGGATATCTTCGCTTCCATTCACGAGCACTAATCGGGATCCTATCCTCACAATGAACCCACATTGATTGACATATGTCCGAGCATGTGGTCCCAATGGTTTGCCGGGTGTCGGTTATCGAATTACGATATTATGAAACGGCCCTCTAATGGCTTTTTTGGCCCTCGGACTTTCCTACTTTTATCGGTGGTTGATGTAGATCCGAGAGACCGGCTACATGAGTAGAAACACAACGATTAACAACAAATATACGTCATTTATGCATCTATAAGAGATGATAGATAATCGAATATACCTCGCGATTTTTCTTGCGCGACAATTTATTGATCTTCAACCACCCATATTCAGGGATATCCTCATAATCAAAGAAAGAAATCTTGACTCGTGTCATCTACATCCACATTGGTGCCAGCGTTGATAATATCCGCCATTATGTCATCATCCGGAGCAGCCATTTGTATCTTCAAGATAACACATAGATAGAATTACTATGGTACATAACATAAGTACATGTGATAACACATATAGAATTACTAAATCCAATTAAATATAATAACACATAATATTTCATAAGGATAAACAATAATAAGGTATAGGCTTTGGAATCGAATCAAAAACACTTTCGATCCAAAAACATGGAAATAAGTACATGTATATATATACACATAGAATGATACAATATATTTCTAGAAATAAGTGCATATGTCTATATCTCTAGATATGCATGTGATAACACATAGAATGTCTCTCTAGATACAATTTTCTCTCTCTCAACACATGAAAATAAGTACATGTATATATACATATAGAAATAATTAAGTACATATGTATACATATAGAATAATCTCTCTCTAGATATATATATATAGAGATAGAATATATAATTACTAAATCCAATTAAATAAATCTAACATGAAATTAGATAAACTAGTAATAGATAATACATTTTAATCTAACATATATCAAAAACTATAATAAAAAACTATCTAAAAAAACTATCTAAATAAAGTACTAATTAAATTTTAATACATTTAAATCTAACATATATCAAAAACTATCTAAAAAACTAACTAAAAAACTAACAATAAACTACTAATTAAATTTTAATACATTTTAATCTACATATATATCAAAAACTATCTAACATTTTAATACTGTCGAGGGCAGCTAACATTAAACTACTAATTAAATCTAACATTTTAATCTAACATATATATGGCCGAGAGCATGTAGCTAGCTAGCAGGCTGGGGCGGATGATGGCGCTGGGCGGGGCAGGCGTGGCGAGCAGTCTTGGCGTCGAAAGTGAGCACCTCATGCGAGGACGACGTCTGGCGGAGACGATGGGGCTCGGCGATTTAGGTCGAGGCGAAGCCAGACGCACGCGTCGGCGGACGGAGGGTGGGCTCAAAAGTCTTGCGGCGAGAGACGGATGCTGGCGTGAGACGACGCGATGCGCTGGCGGTAAGCGCACTACAAGAAATCTTAGGATCTATGACGACCTATTGTCATCATGAATTCTGATATATTTGTCATATTAGTTGTATTTGTGACGACTGCATGACGAAAAACCAATCGTCAAAGATCATGGGTAGTAAATCTTGTTCAATGACGATTGCATATTTTTTCATCATAATTTTTAATGACGACCAGATTAGTGAGTTGTCACTAAATATCTTAAGGCCTGGCTAAGCCCATATACTAAGCAGACTTTTAAGCGGCCCATTTAGCTTTCTAATATTTTTTCAGCCCATTTTGTTTTATTATAATTAGCCCACACAATTTTTTGTTTGGGCCCATTTAGCTTACAGTCCAGCAGCATAACAGAACATATTTTTTAGTCCGATTTTTATTTTCACATTCAGCCTGTTTTTTTATTTTCGCATTCCTGTTTGCATTTTCAGAGGCCCATTTTATAGCCAATATTTTTAGGTCCAGCCCATGCCACATTTTTTTAGGACGGCCCATGATAAAAAAAATCTGAACCAGACAAAACACAAATAGTCCAAATTATTAAAATCACAGCTCAAACACATTCCATTCATAAACAATCAGAGTAGGTTAAATGGTCATACATCTACAGGGGAGAATTTTGAATTTGGAAAGAACCCAATCTGGACTCGTACATGAATGTCCATGGATTTTTGTAAGGAACAAATGGAAGGAGCTGATGCTGCAGATGAAATTGACTTCCAGCGAATATGCAAGTTTGCGTAAGGTAGAAGTGGAAGGAGCTGATGCAGCCGATGACGTCGACTTCCTGGGAATAAGCCATCAAGTAATAATCAGCCAACCAATCCAGAGTAATACAGTGCATGATTCAATTACTGGACAAAACAATCAGAGTCATATCATTCACCTTATTTCCATAATAACGGAAATCTAACCATCTCTAGAGTCCAGAGTTACCAGACAAGCAGGGAGATTACTACATTCGCAACACAATCAGAGTAGCATGTTGGCAGCCTGACAACCAGAGACCACGAGCAACGAAGGAGAATGGAAAAAATGGAGGCGGTACCGTGCACGACGGGGTCAGCGTTGAGGCGATGAACCTCGGCGACGAGCGCGGGCTTGGAGATGTCCTCAGGGAGGTCGCCGTCGATGAGCAGATGCCGACCTCGGCAGACGCCTTGCGCTTCGTGTTCACGGACGTCTGCGAGTCTTTCCGGCTCCCCACGATGGCCACGGCCAGCCTCGGAACCTACGAGCGAGCGAGCGAGAGAGCACAGCGTCAGCACACAATCCGAGGCCTACGCGCCTCGATCCAAGAACTCACAGGCAGCGGATAGAGGGAAGCGGAGTGCTTACGAGTCTGGGCCGAGGAGAGCGCGGCCACATCGGCGGCGACGTCGCGGCGGACGCCGGCAGCGATGGCCTTGCCGTCGATGATCTGCGTCATCGCAGGGTGGCTGTGGTTCTTCGCAAGCGAGTGGAGGCGACGACTCCGGATGAGACCTGGGAATCTTGAGCTCCTCCGTGCACGCTGCCTAGATCCGTTGCCTCCTCCTCGGTTCTTCCTCATCGATGACTCCATTAAAATCTGCGGCCGCCAGGACCTGATCCTCTGCTGCTAGCGTTGGATCCATTGCCTCCGGCGCCTTGGATTGGATATGGAGGGGTGGCGTCGCGGTCGGCATCTAGAGGGAGGGGAGTGGTAGCAGCAGGTGGCGGGCAGTGGTGTGGAGGCGCACGGGAGGGGAGGAAGCGGAGAGGGTGTGGATCCAGGAGCTGTCTAGGGTTTTGGAGGTGCTTTTATGTGAGGTTTGCTGCATCTTGGTCGTTCATTTTGATCTAATGGCCTGAATGAGGCGTGGCTTGCGGGCTGAGATGGGCCAGATCCACGAGATGGGCTTTATTTCTACGAGCCTCTGTTTAATTTTTTTTCCTTTTATTTATTTGCAACGAATTTTATGTTACTAGATTGCAAATCATAAGAACTATTGTCTACTGAATTTATATACCCCCAACATAATTTTACATGAACTAGACTACCTAAGCGGTCAATATTTATATAACTAGATTTCCATAAAAATTTTAAGTTATTTTAACAAAGTGAAACTAGATTGCTTCATTACTTGCGATATTTGTTCTTGAGGTGTTTCTAGGGTTTGATTCCGATCTATAAATTGGTGGTGGTGCTACTTCTTCTAGTTGCTGATCTAGGTTCCTTATATCTGTAGATAGCTCAATAATTTACTCGATCTAAGTTTCCATTATTAGATTTTGAATTGTGGATCATTCTTGTCTGCCACTTGCGGCAGTGCCACAGTGCCACTGGTAAGCGCGGCAGTGCTGCTCTAGGAATTTGATTCGGGTTTGAGTTTTATTTTGACAGGCCTATTCACCCTCCTCTAGGCCACACAGAGATCCTACACATAAAAATTCCAAATAATTTTAATAAAGTGGGATTATACATTGTTCACAAATAAATTCATCTCTCACATAGTTACTATAACTATGTGAAGCATATATATTACACCTTTGTCAAAATGTCTTGAAAATTTTCTTGCAAGCATGTAGACCTCAAGCATGGCCCCACACAAAATCTTAGATTTTTCTTATTAATTTCAGTCATTATTGAATTTATTTTGTTCTAAAATGAAGAAAAGAGGTTGAGTTACCCATTCAAACTTTTTCATCATCCACCTCCACCAAAATTATTTCACTGGGCCTTATGAGATCTAGTATAAAAATCTTGTACCATTTTGGATCGTTTCGGGGGTGGTCTCAGTCCAACCTCCAATTACTTCGTAACGTCACGCAGAAATTCATTTAAACCGTAGAAAATAGCAAACCACCTCTGAAAAATCTAAAACTTAGCGTTTCCTTAACTTGTGGAACACACAAGCTTGAGAAAAAGTTTGAGGTGCATATGACGTCGAAATATACGAGACCCTTGAAAACCTAGGAGTTGTAGTCAGGGCTCCATGAAATGGCGCATCCACTTGGTGAAGCGTGCATATTACGCCTCATGTCACACTTCACATATAAAGAGAATACTAAAATCCTTGATAAACTTTTTTATATCTAGATTGTCTCTGTGGTTGCTACTTCTCTGCTAATCTCAGAGCACCTCTAACATATTACTTATCCTCTCTCTCCCCTAAAAGCATATATGAAGGATCTCCTATTACTAGTTTTCTATCTAGGTTTCCCCCTCTCCTCCAACATATTATTAGTTGAACTACGTCTGATGTCAAACAAAGTCAACAGATGATACAAAAATATATATAATAATAAATGTCACAATTGAGCTCACTTCCTGAAAATCAAGGAAAAATGAAGTGATTTCGTAGGTATTAATCGAACTTGTATTTTAGTGGCTCCATAAAAAAACAATAATTAGTTTGTAATGTCGTTTTTTAAAGAAATTAATAACTACTCGTACAGCATCACTTTACTATATAACAACGTCAATCAGATACTATTTTTTCATCATAACAAGAAATTAGTAATTACTACTGTGATTTCGCAAAGCTACTAATCTATCTACACCTAAAAATTGTTCCGGATGTCCATGAGTACGTGCTTGTCGGACCCGCCTGGCAGCGGCCCAGAAAAAGAGAGAGATAGAGAGAGAGCGCCGTGGCTTTCTAGATTTGCGGACGCGGGAGCGCGTGTGTTCGAGTGGGAAGCGGGATCAGACACGGAGTGAGTGCGCGTGACGTGGTTCGGCCAATAGGCTTGCACCACGCGGCACCGCGGGGCCCTGTCGTCGTTGGGTGAGAGAGAGTAGAGAAGAGAGAGGCCGGCTGGAGCTTTGGAAAAGACGCCGGCGGTAGCCTCCGCGAAACTCCATGGAACGGGACGGTGGCTGCAAAGGAGGAGAAAGAGGCGACGGAACGGAGCAGTAGTTTTTTTTTAAGTGAGCGCTGCGTTCCTCGTGCTGGGCCACGTCCTAGGCTTTGGGCTGGTCCGCTGGTGTGCTGGCGCATGTGGGGAAAAGAAGTCCAGGCAGGTTTCCGGTTTCCCCATGGGCCATGGGGTCCTTGCGTGCGCAAGCAGGTGCAAGACACGTGATTTAGAGGCCAAGGAGATTTGATTAGCATGCACGGGGTGGAGATCTAAAAAAAAGCAAGCACAGGACGGATATTGAAAATATAAACATACTATACATGTGGTGTACGCAGGCCTGCTAGGCTGCCCCCGCGTGGAGCAAACGGCGCAAGCCTGATGGGCTGTATATATAATAATTTGATAAATTATCAATTACATGCTGATATATACAAATGACTGTGGGACTAGCTATCTAATTTCTTTTAAAATTTAACTAAAAGTTATGACAAACTAATATTGCCAATAATTTACGACAACTGCAAGGTAGCATGTTATGACGGAACATAGATCATCATAGACAAACTACTTCTCTAGGTTATGACGATTTTTATTGCGTCTTAATGACGAACACATAATTTTTGTCAGAAAGTCATTCTACACCCAAAAGTCGTCATAAAACAGAATGACTTATTGACGAATTGACTCATCGTCACAAAAAAATTGTCATAGATCTTCAGATTTCTTGTAGTGGCGGATGGCGCGGCCGGGCGGGGGTAGAAGACGACGGCGGCGCGGCAGAGACGAGCTCGACGGCCGGGCGGGGCTGGGCGACGAAGGCAAGATCGAAGATGGCGGTGGCGGCGGCGATGATCGACGTGTAGATCGAAAAGTAGAAGATGAAACCGTTCGATAAATATAGGCCGGGACCCTTTAGTCCCGGCTGGTAACACCAGTCAGGACTAAAGGACATTTAGTCCCGGCTGGTAAGACTAACCGGGACTAAACGTCCAACCCTTTAGTCCCGGCTCGTCTTACAAGCCGGGACTAAAAACTTTAGTCCCGGTTGATGTTACCAAATGGGACTAAAAAGTATTTTTAGGCGGACACCAAAATTGCCGCCCACCCTTTAGTCCCAGCTTCTTGGCCAGGCCGAAGGCTCTGAAAATTTTGGCAACCCGCAAAATTGGTAATAATTGGAAAGGCACAGGATTTTGATTTTGTTTAATACTAGGTTAATCAATTAATTCCATAGCAACTCCAATACTTTGCAATATTTATTTTAAAAAATACTATTGATTAACTAATTATTTATTGTAAATAGGAAAATTTTGTAACCTAAAGTTTTTAATTTCTTTTATGAATATAGAATATAAATGTTACTAATACTAAGTATTTTGTTAATGCAAAAATATATTTGTAACTTAAAATTAATAAAACTAATATTATTCGATAGGAAATTTATTATCACATTATTGTAACGTCAATGTTTCAATTTTTTCTCGGTTTTTGACCAAAATTGACAGGAAATTTTTGTTGAACCTATAAAAATAAAGAAAATGTAGTATTTTTTATTCTACAACTTTTTCAAATGAAAAATGGCCTATATAAGGATTGTAGATATTGATGAGCTGAACAAACTTGGTATTCAAAACTTTTCAATGTGAGACAATCTAGGGTTCCGAAAACTAGTTTGTAGGCGTCGAAATTTAAAAATCACAAATTTGAACCATCCAAACTTTCTCAAATGGAAAGTTGACCAAAACAACAATTGTAGATCTTTTTGAGTTTAACAAACTTGGTATTCAAAACTTTTCAATTTGAAGTCATTTAGAGTTCATAATACTAGAGTCAAAGTGTTGTTTTTTCATTTGACCAAATTTAACTTGGTCAAACTTGCTCAAATGAGACACTAAATGACCTCAGATTAAAAAACTCTAAATACCAAGTTTGATCATCTCAGCAAGATCTACAATTGTTACATAGCTCATTTTCCCATTTGAGAAATTTTTATCAAACACTAGTCACAACTTCTTAAATCTCATATAGACTTTCTAAAACTATGTCACACACTTGTGAAATTTGAACTACATTTTGTTCAAGCTTTCTCAAATAAAAAAATGGTCTATATAAGGATTGTAGATATTGATGAGATGAACAAACTTTGTATTCAAAACTTTTTAATTTGAGACAATCTAGGGTTCCGAAAACTAGTTTGTAGGCGTCGAAATTTAAAAATCACAAATTTGAACCGTCCAAACTTTCTCAAATGTAAAGTTGACCAAAACAACAATTGTAGATCTTTTTGAGTTTAACAAACTTGGTACTCAAAACTTTTCAATTTGAAGTCATTTAGAGTTCATAATACTAGAGTCAAAGTGTTGTTTTTTCATTTGACCAAATTTATCTAACTAAACCATAAAATATGTACTATGTATAATAGTAAAATACCAAACTATCAAGTGATTTTACTATTATAAATCATCATGTGATTTTGAGCTCAAAATCACATAGAAATCACATAGCTCAAAAACATGTTTCAATAAATAACCATCCGTATTAGTTGACCTTGCTTACGTGATTATCTCGGCGAGCATTTCTCCACCGGACGGCACCGTACTTGGC